TAATGTTCCATGTATGTATAATATGTCAAAATACACTATGCTATCACGTATAGCTAAAAATAAAAAAAAAATCTCATTGAATTCACATCTAAATCTTTACTGACTGACTGGCAGTCCATCCTATGCATGTAGTATCAATTTAAGTACCATCCATCCTGTTATTAAACACCTGCTAGATTTTAAACATGATTTCTTATTTTAAAAACTACATTTTAGCTAAATCTGTGTTCATATCACAAGTTTATCCTTAAGATAAGCTTCTAGAGTAGAGTCAGAGGGCTGTGATCTCGCCCCTCTCCTGCTGGGGAACTGAACAGGCCCCTTGCTCATAGCAGCATTATTCATAAAGCAGCGAAGCAACCCAAGTGTCCTTCAGTGGATGGATACAGGCCCACAGGAATACTGTCCAGCCTTATAAAAGAAGGAAATTCTTTTTTTAAACCTTTATTTATTTATTTTTCATGGGGTGCTGAGGATGGAACCCAGTGCCTCACACATGCTAGCACAGAAGGAAATTCTGACACATGAATCAACATGGATGAATCTTGAGGACATTTTATTATGTGAAATAAGCCACAAAAAGACAAATACTATCAGATTCCACTTGTATGAGGCACTGAGAGTAGTCACTATTCATAGAAACGTAAAGTAGAAAGGTATTTTCTAGGGGACAGGGAAGGAAACAGGCAGGTGTGTTGAACATAGACGTAATTTCCAGTTTGCAAGAGGAAAAGAGTTCTACAGATGGACAGTGGTGATGAGAGCTCAGCAATGTGAATGGACAGAGCACCACTGAACTGCCTCTAACATGATTGAGATGGTAAATTTGAGGGCTGGGGTTGTGGCTCAGTGTACAGTCTCACCTAGAATTTGTGAGGCCCTGGATTCAATCCTCAGAACCACATAAAGATAAATAAATATATTGTGTCCATCTACCACTAAAAGAATATTTAAAAAAAGATGGTAAATTTGCAGCCATACATATTCACTACAATTTATTAATAACAACTAAAAAGCCATTAGCTAGAGTTGTTTCATCCTTATCCTGGCCCATTCTTCTTACTCCTCTAGTGACTTAGCAATTTTGAGAGGTGGTCTGCATTCCCAAGGACAGCCATGAGGTAATCACCATGTTAAGAAGCCCTGTGACCTGGGGAGCAAGTTCCCAGAGGCACTCAGAGGATCAGCAGCTTGAAGAGGGAACACAGACTGTCTCAGTCAAGAATCATACCTGGCAGCAAACCTGCAGGTCTTCAATAGCTTCTTGATATGAAAAAGCTGCTCCTGGATGTCCTAAGGTGAGAAACCAAACAGAGAAATTTAAATATTTAAATAACAACCAATAATATTGGAGATGTACATGTCAAAGTGAAATGCTACTTTTCACCACCGTGGATTGGCACCCCTGGAGAAAACAAACCTTTAAAGCAAACAGCCTCTAGAGCAGGGGTTCAGAACTGAATCCACAGATTCACAAAGGATCCTGGATGGATCCAGGTACTGTGGAGCCTGAAGCTTTACACAACTTTAGGACTTTCTTCAAGAAAAACACAAATTATGTATTAATATAAAGATTTAGTAGGGGCCTTGGAAAGGAGTCTGTGTAAGTGAGGGCCCCAGAGGTCAAGCTTCATTTACATCACAGTCCATCTGCCTCTCAGAAGGTCAGAATGGGATGCCCTGAAACTAGAGTGCCCTGGGACACTTAGCTGAACTCACTTCCCCTGCAGAGGCACCTGCTCACCTTTACCCTGTCCAGTTCCTTGACTTTCGCATAGAGGTTCTGGCCGATGCTCAGCAGATTGAAAATGGGTTGGTGCCATATGCTATCCAGGAGCT